TTGGACTGGGAGACGGACTGGGGCTGGGAGACGGGCTGGGAGAGGGGCTGGGGCTGGGGGACGGGTTGGGAGAAGGGCTGGGAGATGGACTGGGAGATGGACTGGGACTGGGACTGGGACCGGGAGACGGACTGGGACTGGGACTAGGGCTTGGACTCGGGGAGGGGCTGGGGCTGGGTCTGGGACTTGGAGTCACTATGGGCGGCAGCACAGGCTCCAGCTCCGGAGGTGGTGCCGTTTCCCCGAGACCAGGGAAGCCACTGAGCATGTGAAGCACACCCTCCGTTGCCAAGAGGTCTGCAAGGACGATGGTGGCGCCTCCTACCGCCACATTCCCTGGGGTGGGCAGGGCCATGGGGCTTGCCACATTGCAACAGGTGGACCAGCCTGAGTGCATGCAGCTGGACAGAACCACCCCGGTCCAACAGTTGCCCCTGGTGTCAAACCTGGCCCGGACGATGTGACGGGCACCAAGCCCCCGCTCAGGGTGTCGACGGAGGGCGCTGCCTCCAAGTCTGCCAGCTTCAGCTGGCCTGGTACCAGGGTGTTCTCGAGCAGGGGCTTGAGGAAGACGGGGTCCTGGAGTTGCCCCTCTGTCAGGAGGCCAGATCCAAGGGCGGAAGCGAATGCCGCGTTGGTGGGTGCCAGGACTGAGAAGGCGGAAGACGTGTATGAGGGGGGTAAGCATGGTGAGATGAGGTAGTCCAACGGCGTGGGATCTCTTGCTGTCCACAACCTCAGGAAGGGCGACACGTCTGGAGAACTACAGGGAGCCACCAGAGCTCCCATTCATACCTTCCAGTAAAACGATTGAGCCATCAAGTCCACGGGATATGCTATGCTTTACATGGCAGGGATGCCCAACATACCAAGCGGGATGGAATCAAGAAGTCAAGGGACAAGGAACTCACAGCACACAGTGGGGGAATGCACTGTTGCAACTGCTTGTTTAAAATCACAGAGTGCAAGGAGCTCTGACAAGGTGATCAGCCAAACAGCGCCCATGCATAATACTTGCTACTGCACAATCACAGTTGTTCAAGGTGTGAATAAGATTCCCTTCACCACTTGCCGGGTCGCGTGGGAGGCGAAGATGCGATGACTGGGGCCTTGTAACCCTGCTGTGGGGCTGGAATATGCTGGGGGGCTGGTGCTGCCACTGGGTGCTGGTGATGGTGATGGTGCGCGTGGGGCTGTGCCCTTTCCCTGGCCTCCTCCGAACTGGTCTTCGGGCAGCCACAGCAGCAGCGGCAGGGGCAGCAGACGATGACGAGGAGGGCGTCGAAAATGCTGCAGATGAGGTTGCAGGGCAGACAAATAACGTCCGTGCAGCAGCCCATGACGTCTCGGCTGGGATACAAGAGGGCGAAACCATTGCGCGCATGCCGCGGACAAACTATCTCAAAAGCATACCGGCGGGTGCAAGAGCTCGGGCAAGCGACCCTGGTCCTGCATGAAGGCTGGAGAAAGGTCGTCCCGATTACCTGGACTCGGCGGTATTAGACCTGCTGTTCTCCACAGCCCACGCGACTGCAGTGAATGGAACAAACTACTCTGTTGTGGCAGAATCTGCCACATGAGACGTACGCGCTCTCCCACGCTTGGGAGTGTGACGGAAGCTGCGACGCGCTTCTTGGCTGGCACACGCAGGACCTCAGACACAGGCCAGTCGCGCGGGAGGAGCACAAAAGTCGGACATGAGACCCCTCATAGGAAAAGGAATCAGTGTCTTTGGAAGATATCCCAGCCTGCGCCCCGCCTTTCCGACAACGCCAGGGCACCACAGCGCAACCGCACAGCGCGCCTATTTGTCCGGGAACCCCCCCGTCCACGGGAAGCTCGCATCAAATTTCAGCATGTCTGCCGCATCAAAATCGTTCTCGACCGTGTTGCTGGGGGGAGGAGTGGCCAGCGGCTACTTCGCTCGGGAGTGGATCAAGGAAGGGGGCAAGGGGAGCGATCTCGCCATCATCTCCGATGACACGGTGAGCAATACTGAATTCGTGGTGAAGTGGAGTAGATGTCATCAAGGACCCGAAGTTGACGCTCCATGCGCACCGTGCAACTTGCAGGTGGTCGCCTACGAGCGTCCTGCACTGAGCAAGGCCTACCTGTTCCCCGAGGGTGAGCTGGTCTTGCATGCGTGCAACCGGTCGTGTTTTGAGAGTGAATCTCTAAATTCGGGCGCTCAGAATATATTTGGGTGGATACCTACATGTCTGCCAGCGCTCCTTGGCACCTACCAACCAACACCTGACCTTGCCATGCTCCAGGTGCCGCTCGGCTCCCTGGATTCTACACCTCTGTGGGTGTGGGCGGGGAGCGTCAAGATCCGACCTGGTACTCCAGCCACGGTGGGAGGCTTGCTGATGGATATCGATTGTTGGTAGCAAGACTGATTGAGCAGAGACAGTGGGGAGGTTGTTGTGCGCAGCATTATCAGCCACTTCACCATTGTAATCATTCACACGACATTGTCTTGCCCTGCAGGCATCGAGTACCTGACGGAGACAGCAATCAAATCGGCCGACCTGAAGAACAAGACGCTCACGACTGAGGATGGCACCGCCATCTCTTTTGAGAAACTCGTCATTGGCACTGGCGCTCGGGTGCGCGCCATGCCCTGGTGGTTTTCTGGTGTACAGACTGGGCCCACTTGCCACAATGGCATGCATGCATGCATGTACGTGTCTGTGCTGGGCCATTTCTGTCCTCCTGAACCCATCCTTAAAGTGTGCTGGCCTTTCTCGGTTGTCCTTTTAGGTGACCCGGCTGGAGGACTTCAAGACTCCAGGTGCTGACCTTGAGGGTGTCTACTACCTGAGGAAGGTCGCTGATGCCGATGCTCTTTTGGAGGGCATCGCAGAGGCCAAGAAGAAGGGGCCAGATGTTAACGTGCGTGCGGTTGGAGCTGGGCGGATTTGGGAGACTGGGTAGTTTATTGTTGGGATTAAAAGCGGGTTTGTCCATTGGAGTTTGGAAACCTGTCTCGGCGTGTGTATCATTGTCTCTGCTAGCTATCGTCGATCAGGCATGCTGGGGTTGGACAGGTCATATTCCTCCTGTACAATGACCAGTAGTCTCCCGGGATGAATATCGCCAGATTCCCCCACTTGCAGATTGTGATCGTCGGGGGCGGCTACATTGGCATGGAGGTTGGGGCCGGTCTGGTGAAGCATGGCGTGAACCTGACGCTCGTCTTCCCTGAGAGCAGGTAGCTCACGGATTGGAGGCTGGGTGTCTGAGCGTTCATGCCGTGCACTCTGTCGCCCTCGCAGTGGGGTTGGCAGGGCTGTGCACCAGTCTTGTGGCATGGCCAGATGCTGAAATTTGTCCCTCCTTGCGCGGCGCTGCATGGCTGGCGGCCTTGAGCCTGCTGGCCTATAAAGTACATCATCACATCATGTACTCTGCCAACACACACCACCTCAGGCTGATGGAGCGGCTGCTGACCCCTGAGCTGGCTGGATTCTACGAGAAGTACTACGAAGGTGATGAGCTGATGCATCTGTGCAACTTGTAGCTCAAGGTGTTGCAGGAGAGTTGAGTGCAGACTTCCTGATGGCTCATGTGCATGCTCGACGCGGCCCATGCTTGCAGGCAAGGGCGTCAAGCTGATCAAGAAGGATCTGGTGACGGCCCTGGAGGGCACAGACGGCAAGGTGGGTGGGCTGAAGGGTGCACGGGTGTTGGATGTGACTTGGGGGCATTCCTGTGCAATCTTGGAAGGCACAGGCATTAGGCTCAAGCGACTGCTTGTACTTGTGTCCCAGCGAGGGGGGACTCCGAGGATGCTGCACACGCCAACACACCGTCTCGGGTGCATGTCAGAGTCCTCCCCTTGTCGGCGTGCTTTGCCTCCATCTCCCTTCCCGGGTGTTGCCCATCGCAGCACCCCCCCCGGCAGCCTCCCCATCCCTTTTCCCCCTCATCCTTCAGGTCACCACCGCCGTGCTGAAGAGCGGGAAGCGCCTGCCGGTGGACCTGGTGGTGGTGGGGACGGGCGCCCGGCCCAACGTGGAGCTGTTCAAGGGCGCCGTGGACCTGCTGGAGGGCCCCCCTGGTGGCATCAAGGTGGACGGCAGGTTGCAAACCTCGGCGCCAGGCGTATTTGCCGTGGGCGACGTGGCGGCCTTCAAGCCGGCCTTCACGGGGGAGCTCACACGCCAGGAGCATGTGACCAATGCAAGGTGTGTAAAGGGGGGAGGGGGGGGATTGAGATGCTGGGGTAGTAGGGTGGGGACGGAGCACTCACTGATCCAGGATGGGGTGCCAGAGCGCGGCGTGATTGGGGTCTGACCACCTTGGTGGTTGCCGCGCCTAAGCCACCAGCGCGCTCGACAGGGTGGAGGGCCGGGGCGCCAGGTGCCCACCTTGGTGCCCCAACGGCGATCCCACTGCCTTCCCACGCCCACCGCCCTGGACCCCATGTTCCTCCTTTCCCAGGCTGACTGGGGCGTACGTGGCCCGTGAGATCCTGACCCCGGGCACCCAGCCCGAGTACGACTACCTGCCCTTCTTCTACAGCCGCGAGTTTGATCTGTCCTGGCAGGTGGGCCCAGGAGGAAAGAGGGCAAAGGGGGGGGTAGGAGTGCAGGAGTTGAGATTGCACTGGGATGCAATGGACTGTGCAAGACCGTGGTACGAGGCGAAAGCGGCACTTGCTGTGAGGCAGCTCTCTGTGCTCTGCAATAGTGTGTGCCATGGAGGCGACGCCCTCCGGGTCAGACCTCTCTTTTATGAACACACACTCACGTAAACAACACACCTCTGCTCCACAGTTCTATGGGCAGTCCCAGGGGGACCCCGTGCACTTTGGCGACCAGTCCAGCGGCAAGTTTGGCGCGTACTGGATCAAGGATGGGACCGTGGTTGGCGCTTTCCTGGAGAGCGGGAGTGAGGGTGAGTAGCTGAGTCAGGAGTGTGGGTCGGGGATTATTGTTGGGGGCTGGATGCACAGGTGCCGGGATGGGGCGATGGTCATACGTGTCCTGTGCTGGCTCTGGTGTGGCTGGGGGGAGGCGCGGGCAGATGGATAGGGGACGGACTGTGCGCCAGGGAAAAGGCATTTTTGCAGGACTTTTTCGCGTGTACTGCTTCGGTTCATCGGGCCCTCCCCACGCCCACCTGCAGAGGAGAATGCGGCCATCAAGAAGGTCATCCAGACCAAGGCCAAGGCCCCCAGCGACCTCCAGGCACAGGGTCTGGCCTTTGCGGCCTCTCTTTGAGCATGGGAGAGGAGGTGCGCCTTGCCTCGCCACATCGAGGAAGGGAAGTGACACCTTGCGTGAGGAAAGTCTAGGCTCTGTTTTCCAAGCAGAGAAGACGAAGGAGCATGCTCATCTATTTTCAACAGGCCCCGGCAGAACTGCGCTATTAGCAGCCATCCTGCATCACACCTCGTCACCCATGTACCCTCGTGTTGACTGGCTGTTCTGTTACACAAGAAGCATCATCTTCTCAGAACGGTGGAGACCGCAGGGCACAGAGTCTACAGGAATTCATGGCACCAGGCAAGACCAGGGGCTCGTACGTGCTGTCTCCGCCTCAGCGAGACTCCTATGCGAAGACGTCGATGGGCAGCGATGCGCCGTTGGTCGTGAAGCTGCAGGGAATGCGGGGTTGGGGACATGAGTGCTGAGGGAAACCTGCTCGAGCAGAAAGTTGCTGAATCGAATGTCACAACCTCGCACCCACCAGGGGCAGCACCCACCCGGCAAGGCAGCACCCATTCACCCACTTGTTGTGCCATGGGTCGCCAATGTGCTCAAACAGGTTGGTGATGGGGCCCTTGCCGGTGGCCTTGGCCTGGGCGACAAAGCCCAGGAAGGCCAGCTGCAGGGAGTGAGGAGGGGCGAGGGGGGGGGGGGGGCAATGGAACTGGAGAACACTATGGCATGTGTCGTATACAAGGTAGAGAGCTGAGCGCAGGTTCCGCATCCCCCCCTCACTCATCCCAGAGCCCCTACCATTGCCAGACGGCCATTCTTGATCTCCTTGAGCTTGAGCTCATTGAGGTTCGCCTCCGAGGTGCTGCAAGGGTGGGAGGCTTTCGCGATCAGACCAGCGGATCTCAGCAACATCCTGGGAGCGTGCCATGCACATGTGCACCCTTGTCGCCATGCACGACAACAGAGCACACTGGACCCCTCCAGCCCTCTCCGGGAAACCACCTACTTGGAGAAGCCCAGGGGGTCGAAGATGTGGCCGGGGTACCCAGATACGCCAGTCCCCTTGAACTGACTCTCGAATCCTGGGCAAGATGTCATGTGGGGGCACAGGGGATGAAGCAAGGCGCAGAGTGCGATGATGCTGGGAAGTGTGCCAAGCATCCCTGACTCTGGTGGCCATCAAGCACACTACCCCTTCCCACAGCAGCCGCCTCACCCAGGAAAGAGCCTGGCTCCCCCTGGCTCCCAGGCTTCTGGATGTCCTTCAGGCGCTTCAGCTCCACAAAGTTGAAGGCAAAGAGCTCGATGAGGAGCAGGGGCTCTGTGGGTTGAGGGGAGGGAGGGAGCAGGTTACACACTGGCATCATTCCCTGAGAGCTGGCGCGCGACGGGTGAACTGCGCCCGAATCAGAACTCATACCCTTCTCCCACCACAAACCCTGCTCACTGAAGGGGATGGAGGAGTTCTGCTGCGAGACGAGACCAGCATCGTACCACTCTGGCACGTTGAGGATGCCAATCTTGGTCAGCAGGCCAGGGATGAGGATGCCCGCCACGCCCAGCATGGCCCAGCGCCCGTTGTTGAGCTCAGCATTGCGGAACCTGAGACGAAGCGAAGGCCAGAGAGGGTGGTGATGGGTCAGAGGACCAAGCCAACTTTACATGTCAGATCCCTTTGGGTTCCCATCCTGCAACTCACCAGTCCAGCGCCTTCTTGTTCACGCCAAGGCTCAGGGGGTCGAAGCCGTAGCTGCAGAGGGCATGTGGACATGAGTGGGCTCGGATATGAGTGCACGAGCATCGCGGCCCTGCATTCATTGCAAGGAACCCCGCATGCCCATGCCCGGAATCAAGATCCCTGGAGACCAGAGCCCCCCTCCGTTCGCCCACTTACTCTCCTGCACGAGTGAGGAGATGTGGAGGATTAGTTTCTTGCGCTTCATCGGTACGCATGCAAGCTGGGGACAGCACCGTTGGCCGCCTCGTTGCGCACCTGGCAGGGATCCATCGAGGTGGGCGGGGGCTTTGGCCCCCGGCTGCCACAGGGGCCGCGCCTCCGCATGCACCCGGACAGGGGTCCTAGCCTGAAGATGAGACGTAAGTAGGGAGGTGAAGGACAAGCGCGGTGAGCTACATCCACGCCCACCACCCCGGCATCACCAACCTGTCGGGCATGGGCCGGGCGGCACAGGGGGGTCCGCGTGAGCGTGAAAGTCTGCATCGCACCAGGAGCCTGGCCTGGAATGGGCTGTTCTATCTCTGGTTTTGGGGCTGGGGGGCGAAACTCGAGCTTTGGGAGGCAGAAGATGGGACCCGCTGGGGACCCTCCCCGAAGATCGGATTGCGATTCGCCCTGGGCGGTCTTGTCATGTGTGCGCCTTGGGGCTCGGACCGGGGCCTCCTGAGGCTCGAAAATCGATTGGGACCCCACGGCCAAATCAGTCCGAAAGCAGCATACCTCTGAATAAATGAGATGAATCCGACATGCAATCAGTGCAAGTAGGCTTTGGGGCGGCCTCCAAGCGAGGAGGGAGCGCTGTTTGTGTGTGGTCTTTCGGGGCCCATGCGGGGCTGGGTCGAGGTGTCGCTCCCTTTGGGCATGCTTGCGGCAGTGTGCGGCACGGGGGCACTGCTCAACAAGCCATCAAACGCCAGACCACCTTCCATGCCGGGCGAGGAGCTGGTGAGGCTCTACGAGTTCGAGGGAAGCATGCATGGCTCCCACGGCCTGCATTGCCCCCCCGGCCAACCTCTTTCGCGCAAATCCTTCGCCCTGCACAGGCGTGGCTGCGTCTGGTGGGGTGCTGTCCAGCCTAGAGATAGAAGATGGCGACTCACAGCACAGCACCGGCAGGGTCACGGCTGAGATTCTGGTGGACGCCCCATGCCAGACGGTAACAAGACGGGAGGAGGCCCTGGGGTGGGCGGTGGCGACATGCATCTAGGGAAGGGGTATGCTCCAGATGAAGAGTTGGCATGGGCTGCGACGGCTGTGAGAAGCAGGGAAGAGAGCCGCGGCACTGTGCAGTCCCTGCGGACATTCTCGCCCCTCTGCCTACCCCTACGCCCTCGCGCCCGCCTGCCTCGCAGGTGTGGGACGTGCTGCTGGACTTTGAGCGCCTGCCGTCCTTTCTTCCAAACCTGACGGCCTGCCAGGTGGTGGCCCGCCCCCACGTGGGCCGCCTGCAGGTCCTGCAGCGTGGCAGCGCCCACAGCTTCCTCTGGCACCTCCAGGCCCAGGCGCTGCTGGACCTGGTGCTCTGGCAGGACGGCGTGGGGGTGCGCAAGGCCAAGTTCCGGATGGTGGAGGGCGACTTCAAGGTGGGCTGGCAGTGGGGGGGTGAGTTGGGAGGGGTTGGACAGAGGGTGCTCGGTTGGGGCTGCGGCGGGAGACGAGGGGTGGGGCTGAGTTGGAGGGGCGGAGCCGGCATCTGGTGCCAGGGACCGGCACCAGGGGCAGAGCTGGCTCCGGGGCTCCATCGGCCTGGCGTGGGCTGACATGCAGCCCTGGCATGCAGCACGGCATGGGTTTCGTGCTGGCTTCGATTGTGCTGGCATGGCGCAAGGCGGTGCACGATCACGCCTGCCCCTCTCTGCATGCGCTCCCCCCTTTCGCACGCTGCTTCTCAACAGTCAGGCTGTGTGTCAGGATGAGGAGTCCTGCGCTGTGCGTGCACTGGCTGCCCACCTCCCTCCCCCTCCTCCGGACCCCTCCACGCACCCGCTCCCAGGACTTTGCGGGGTGCTGGTCTGTCACCGCCACCCTGCATCGTGGGCGGCCAGCGACGCGGCTGGTGTACGAGGCCACGGTGGTCCTCAACTGGCCGCTGCCGCGCAGCATCGTGGCCTACATGGTGAAGAACGGACTGGCGCAGAACTTGGCGGCCATCGCGGCCCGAGCCGTCCAGGTGTGGGGGGGGGCCGTCAGGGAGTCGTGCTGGCGGAGCCCTGAGCACGGCGCCAGGAGAGCGGCAAGGTGATCCAGGGATGATTGCGCAGGGTCCTAATGGACGCAGACGAGGGTGGCATGGTGCCATGACTCCCCTCCATCCCGATCCACAGCTGGAGAGGGGCAGGGAGCGTGAGGACAGCGCTGCCTCCTCGGATGTCCAGGAAGACTCCTCCTCCGCAAAGCCCTGGTCCTTTGGCTCCGCCCAGGACTCCAAGGCCTGGGTGAGGGGGTCGAGGGGTGCTGGCGCGGGGGACACATCGGGGGTCAGGGAGGCCCTGCTTTTGGGGCGCGAGGATGGAAAACCTTGTGGCCGTGGATGGCAAGGGGCGGGGGACGTCCTTGCAGAGGCTCTGAGGTCATGACTCCCGATCTCATGCGTGGAGCATGTGGACTGCCACGCCCTCCTATGTGGATCCCTCGATTCCATTCCATCCCCTTCCCCCTGACAGGAGGCTGCTGCGCGGCCATCGTACCTCGGCATCGCCTCCGTCCCGCTGCCTGCCAGGGTGCCTGGGCCCGTAACAGAGGTGCGCTGCAGAGGCGAGGAGTGCAGGGATTCGGGATGGGTGTGCATCTCGTACCTGCGCAGAGGTAACGGGCGCCACCCCTTGTCCCGAGCTGGCAAGGCATGAGCTCAGCGTCGCCTGCAGACCATGCTCCCCGTTTGCCCTGGCGCTCAAGCTGCTATCCCGATTGGCCAGACCACAAAGCCTTCCTTCTCCGCCGACATTCCCCCTCCCACCCCCCTTCACCTGCTTCTCGGACACCGTTTGATCCCACAGGGAGCGCCCCAGGGCGTGCAGGTGCATCTGCGACGCCTGGACGAGCTTTCTTCACTGCATCGCCGCGTGGTCGCCAGCGTGGCCGTCCACGCCCCCCGCGCCGTCATCTGGGAGGCCCTGACAGGCTACAGTGACCTGCCCGGCATCATCCCCAGCCTGGAGACCAGCGAGGTGCTCCCGCGGCGGCCCGGACCCGCGCATGGTCTCCTCCGCCTCCGCCAGGTCGGTGCTGGGGCGCTGCATGAAGCGGCATCCGCACACCCACATCCCTTGCGCATTGGCGCTGGGACGGAAGCATGATGGAGGTATTGCCCGGCGGGTCCCTCTTGCCACCACCCTCCAGTTGTTACCCCTGCCTGGAGCCGCAGTCACCCAACTCCTTCCCCTCCTCCGCCTCCTGACGGCCAGGTCTGCAGCAAGCGGGTGGGATACCTGTCGCTCCAGGCGCAGGCGGTGATGGAAGTCCTGGAGAAGGAGCAGAGGTGCGCGCTGGGCGGAAGGGAGCCTGGCGGCTGGGATGTTGCAGGGCATGCATGTCCGTGAGCATTGAGACAGAGCAAGCGACTCCTTCTGTTTCCACCTCTTCGTCGCCGTCTTACAACCCCCATTGTGCGCAGAGAAATCCAGTTCCGGCAGGTGGAGGGCGACCTCGACTTCTTCCGTGGCAAATGGATGGTGGAGGACGACGTCGAGGAGGTGGGGATGTGCGGGGAAGGCAGGGAGGGCGGGGGGGGGGGCGGCGGCACCTTCTATACTCATTGGTGCATGGCTCCCATGCCCCTTCTGCCCTGGTATGGTGTCAAGGGGTCCAGGCCAGGCCCCCGCCATAACCCGCTGCCCAATCCCCACTGCCACGCAGGAGACGGGCGTGCCTGTCTGCAAGGTTACGTATGCCGCCGAGGGCAAGCTGCAGCACAGCGCGGCCGTCACGCAGGTCCTGGAGCCCCTCCTGGAAAAGGTTGACTGGCTGGCTTGGTGGGGGGCGGAAAAGTTGGGTGCGGGGGGCTCCATCTCCCCTGCTGTGGATACATCAGGGGTGCGGTTCGACATCACCACTGTCACGCCAGGGTCCCCAACCCACACACAGGTTGTCTGTGGAGAGCTGACAACTAGTCTGATGGCGATCAAGCAGCATGCCGAGAGGAAGGTGCGTGGCCATAAGGTCTTTGGGGTCTGGCGTCTGGGGGAGGGCATGCGTACAGCGGCATGAGAGGGCTCAAATGGTGTAGGCCATGGGTCCCCTCAAGCCCCTCACGGATGACCCTATCCATCACAGGCACACTTGATTGCCGGCACCACCGCCACCCCCTCTGACCAAGAAGGTGTGGAGGCACAGGAGTTCCAGAGACAGTGAAGGGAAATCTTGCGCATGCAGTGTGTTGCGCGGTTTCTGGACCGGGTGACAGGGGTGGCTCGTATCCCAATTGCAGGGGCGGCTACCTTTAGTGGGCATTCAGTGGAACCTGGGTCCAAACCTGCCCCTCCCACTCCACCTGGCCCGCAGAGGAGAGCTTCCGGCGCCTGGCCGAGGAGGTGGAGGCCGCGTATGGCAAGCATCGCATGATCCCGCCCCGGGATGTCTTGCGCGCCGATGGGCGGTGAGGGAGGGGGTGGGGTTGGGGTCTCGGTGAAATGTAATACCGGCTGGCTAGCCTTTGCGGCGCGGGGTAAAGCGTTTGCATGCCGTAGTTGCCATGCAGGCTTCTTGGGACTGCTGCCCCACCCCTGTCCTTCAATTTCAGCCTCTCATCTCACGAAGTCTCAGTCGGGCTCGACGCTGCCTCTCTCTGAGTGCGCCCCCCTCCCTTCATGCGCAGGTCCCACCTGGAGAAAGCCATCTCCCAGCATGGGGGCATGGCGGTCGTGCTGGCGAGGCTGGGATGGGCGGCCGCCAAGCGGGCCCGGAAACCGCGTGGCTACTGGTCCAACCTGGAGAATGTGCGCGCTGAGATCCGCGCCTTCATCATCGAGCACCACCTGCCAGAGGGTGGGTGGTGTGAGCCTTGTCTGTGTCCCGCGGCAGGACTCACCCCTGCCCGCTTCGTGCCCGTCTCATTGGAGCGCGCTTGCATCCCATCACCGCCCTTTGCCTGATTCCTGGCTCTGAAAGGATCACACAACCCCACCCCTGCAGCAGCCCCAGGCCCCTCCTCACCCCCTCCAGCTCTCCATCCCGCTCCCACCAGGCATCATGCCGCACAAGACGACGTTCGTGCGGTGCGGCAGGCACGACATTGCCCGGGCGGTGGAGCGCTTGGGGGGCCTGCACCACCTCACCACCGCGCTGGGGTACAGCAATCCCAGGCCTGCAGGGGCCGGCGCGACGCAGTGGCAGGCACATGTGTCCAAGGTCGCTGCCGTCACCAAGCTCTCCGGCAAGCAGGTGCGTGGGCGGGGCGGGTTCCTGGCCGCAATGCACGTGCTTGCTGTGCCGCCGCCCGGGTCAGGGAGGGGTGAGAGGGCTCCTGGGCCGACTGCCCTGACCCTGCCGCCACCCACAGGGGCTGTTTCACGTGGCAGCATGCACATACGACAAGGAGCCCAAGGAAGACGGGCAGGACCAGGGGGAGAGCGGGGTGTCGTAGCTGGGCGCAGCCGTCGCTCCGCACCGGGGCGGTGGGGCCCGCAGCGAGCCGGGTTCCCGTGGTGCCGATCCCTGTGCGATGAATCTAGGTACCGTGCCCACCTGCAGTCCAGACGAGGCCAGAGCAGGGTGCTGGGGCGAGAACAGGGCGGGCCCCGGCGAGGCGCGGGTTCACTTGCATCACACCCTTCCAATCAGAGTGTGGGTGCAGACATGTAAAGAGAGGGAGAGTGCCGGGGCCCATGTCCCTGCTCACTGCTGTGCACTGCCTGCGCTCCTGTTTGCAGCGGGCACCCGTGCGCCATGCGCACGGCCGAGACTCGGAAATGAGCGCGGCAGGGACTGGGTTGCCACCAGTGCGGGGGTGGCTGCCTGGTGAGGCATGGAAAGCTATCAAGAGGCCAGTTCAGCTGAAGGTGTGTTGATACGCTGCGCTGTGGCTGCCGAGCTGCACGCCGAATCTTGTTCAGAACTGCATTCCCAGGGTGCCGCTCATCCCGACAGATTCTCGGCCAGGCTCGCACACCACGGCCCTGAAGATGTACATGGCAATGCCTGTCCTCCCCGGAATCACAAGAGGGGTCTGTGCCTTCCCAGTCTGACTCTGTCCTTCACAGCAGTGTTGGTCATGGCAGACACTGTGCATTACCTTTACAACCAGCCAAGCAGTGGTGTCAGGGGGTGTCTCCAGGTGTGCCTTCCCACTTCGTCATTCTTCCACAGGGGAATCTCCTGCACCCCGTCCTCTCTCTTCTGCCTGTCCAAGACGGCGACGGAGAGACCCTCATCATGACACCCATTCCCAGGGGCAGCTTTGACTGACGCTTCAAAGGGACAGCCTCTGGTGTTCCGTACCACAGCAGCCTTCGTGTCGGCGGCCCAGAGATCGCTCCTCTCCTCACACCCCGCTCGCGTGCTGGGGGTGCAGGGACACCGAGACCACCGCGCTGCCGTGCAGGAAGGCCTGGCGCAGCGTCCGCTGCCGCGCCTCCTGCCACCGCACCGTGCGGCCGTCGCGCTTGCCACGCATGAGGACGGTGTACCGCTCCGAGACGTCCCGCAGCACGAGGTTCAGATGCTTGTCAAAGGCTGCGAGCCTCCCTGGTCCGGCAGGAAGGGGAAAGGTGTGTGGAAAGGGGGCCGCGATTCGTGCTGGGAGAGCGAGAATTGCCTGGGGCATGGACTGAGATGGCTTGCGTTTGGCCCCAGCAGCAGTGCCTGCAGGCTGTGGGCTGATGCCCGCCCCCCCCCGCCCGACCCCAAGATTGACAAAACAGCATCCAGATGGGGGCAGTCCATCCCCTTCACCACAGGCCAGGCAGCTCTGACCACGCGCTCGCCAACCATCTCACCTGTGCATCGCCCACGCACACCATGGGCATGGCGTGTGACGACCAGCAGGGGCGCACCGCTTGCCATGGCCCCCTTCAGGAGCAGGAGGGGGCCTCCAGACACGCCGTTGGAGATGGCATCCAGTGGGTGGGTGGCATGCCTGGGAGACAGGGGGATGGGTCCCGCATTCACACCTGGCATGATGACCTGCTGTTCCAGCACCAGGGGAGCAAGGCATTGGCACCATTCCCACTCCTGACCCACCCACCCCGCAATTTGTCAGTCCCTGCAGCAGGGAGAAGCCCACCTCGCTGATCGGAGGGCTAGCTGATGCTGGTACGAGCGCCTGCTCACGCGGGCCTCCGACTCATTGCTCGCGGATCGTACCTGCGAGGAGATGCGGTCCCACTCAGCGATCATCGCACACCGGCCGCATGCAACCTGATGCCAGGCAATCGACTCACGGTTGCCGGGGCAAGATAGTCTTCGTGATCAGTGGGCAGCAGCCTCCGGTACGAGTACAGATTGTTCAGTGGCTGGGCGCTTGGGACGGGCGGCAGGCAAGTATCGGAGGCAAGCGCGGCGAGCGGATCGAAGTGCCGCGACGCAAAGTTCAGGCTGCTGCCATGCATGCACTCAGCACGGAGGGCGTCTCTGATCTGCGTGTAGACGACGGAAGTGTACGTCTAGGCCGCTGTCAACTGAGACCAAAGATCGCAAGGAGAGGATCACAAACATGAAGGAAGCGGGTGGCTTGGTCGGACCTGTGGGAACTCGTGCATCCGATTCTGCCCATGCATGTCGGGGTTGATTTCGAAAATGCCCGCGCCCGCGGCGGCCATCCTTGATTGTTTACCCCTCCACGTGAAGCCTCTCCAATCAATCAAAACTGTCGCCGTGGAGACTTTCACCTTTTAAATTTGACAGGGAGTAATTCACACAAAGGTTGTGTCATCCCAAGTCGACTGTGCCATCAGGCCTGTACAGATGGTCTTCCTACTTCTTCCGCGCTGCCTTCTCCACCAAGCCAGAGATGGCAAAGCGCTGACGCAGTGTTGCGCTCACCTCCTCCAGGCTCACTCCCTAGGAGAGGAGAATGTGATTGTCAATCAAAAAGGACGTGCGGGAAACCTTAGGCTAAAAACTATCGCCCACCTTTCACCCACCTGGTGATTGAGGAAAACCATGGCATGGTAGAGCAGGTCAGCAGCCTCTGACACCGTTCTTTCCCGGCCTGGTGGTAGGAGATGAATAGGTTCTGAGGCATTCTGCACAAGTCGGCTGGTTGTTTCAGAAAAAGCATGCATGGCAACCGATGCAGAATGTCTTGCTCGTGGCAGCTTTCAATAGGGTTATGAAACGCAGGCGCCCATCAGAGCCCACTCTGATCCACCCGCCCGACGTCCTCTGCCTGCTTCCGGCACCACCTCACCCTCGTCCTCCTCCCATGTGGCACAGAGCTCCCCTGCCTCTTCGCGAATCTTGCTACACAGCAGCTCGGGGTTGCTCAGCAGCTTGGCGGTCCAAGACGGCTTTGCCCCTGCGATGCCACATTTTCAAAGCCTGAGTTTTGGTGGCCGTTGGTCTGCTCATCTCAATCAGCGCGAGGAAATGTGTATGCGCCCCGCATGTGGCATAACGCACGAGCCATTGCTATGCCTGTCAGGGTCTCAAGCATAACCATGGTCTCCCAGCCGGATACGCCGCAGCCCGCTCACCCTCGACTGCGGCCTGCGCCCTCCTATCGGCGATGATGCGCTCCAGTGCAAAGAGGGTGGGCAGCGGCGACTCCGCGCGGGAGGTGTGGGTGCCTGCCTCGCGCACTTTCCCGTCCTCCTCCCGCTTCAGGGTCGTGAAGTAGCAGGTGGGGGCATTGGTGTGACAGGCCGGGCCGATGGGGTCGCCCACATAGATCAGGGAGTCACGATCGCAGTCCAGGTGGACGCTCAGCACCTGCGCAGGGCGTTGTGTGGTGGTGGTGGGGAGCAGGTTACCTTGGAATCCGTTGTGGAGAGGCGACAGGCATCAAGCATGGCTACAAAAGGTGCAAACATGTGGCATGAGACCCCCCTTTCCCCCAAATACACACGGTCGCTCTACTTTATCCCACACCTTGATGAAGTGTCCAGAGGTCTCGCCCTTACACCACCGGCCCTTGCGAGACCTGCTGTAGAAGGTTGCTAACCTGCATGCGCAGGGATGGACCGACTCAGGAACATGCTACCACTTGAATTGGCAGGCTTGTGACATGCTTGTGCTTCCACCCCTGCTCCCATGGCCTGCCAGACTTGCCCGGTCTCCAGGGTCTCAAGGACGGCAGCCTCGTCTGCAAAGGCCTGCATCAAAACCTCTCCAGTCTCCACATGCTGGACTATGGCTGTGACCAGGCCCTTGCTGTCCCACTTCAGGCTGGGGAGTACTGAAGGCTGGTGTGCCGTCCCATTCCGGCCCTGGGCGGCACACGCTCTGACAGAGACGCGTCTTGCATTTGAAGCGGTCGGGGGTGGCCGATGCACATTCAATAAAGGGCTGGGTGCCATCCATGCGTGTCCCGCGCTGGAGTAGCTGGGGCATGGGCGGGACAGCGGCGCAACGAGTGCCATCACCCTATGTGCCGACTTCCTGTATCCCAGCAAGCACCCCGGCAACTAGTATTCCTGAGAACCCGTTGCTGAATGCCACACCATCTACATTGCCGTCCGCTCATTTCCATATTTGCGGTAGAGTATCACGCACATGTCCGTATCCGGCGTGAAAATTGTCACACTGCAGCATTTCATGACTGGGGCCTGCAGCCCAGATCGGATCAGGAATACTTGGCATGGGCATGCCGTACATCATGATGGTCACACCGATACATTCTGTCTGGTGTTAGCTCAGTGATCGGAGACTGTGCACGGCGATCCAGGATGCGCAAGGCCAAGCAGGCCAGGGGTTCCGGAACCTCCATCCCTGAACGAAACCACTGTCGCGCAGATGGCGACGTGCCGGGCGATGCGAGGACCAGGGCATTCCAAAATGGACTGGGATTACCTGAGGCTGCGGCCTCCCCCGCCAGCATGTCGAGGGCCGCTCACCTCATGGACGTCGCCGACAGGAGGTCCCCAGTGGCAGACCTGGTTGGCCTGAACTGGCCCATGCTCCCCATAGTAAGGCGGCCTGTAGGCGCACCCAGGATTTTGCGCTTCATTGGTTTGCTGACTCGTGAGCGCGACTGCAGCCCTGCATGCCGAACCCTGCGGTCTGATACTCGCGGTTAACAACGCACCATGGCAGGCCACACACCAGGGCCTGGTGCTGCATGCCGTGCAACCAAGCACCACAAGCCCCCTCCTGACAGCACAAGGTGTGCGTTTGCTGGGCAGGCCAGCTGAGTGGGTTGGTGCCCTTCACAGAGTCGTCAGCCTTGCAAGAGGAAGGGTCATGAAGAATGCCAATACCGCAGGGCAGCGCTGCTCAGCTGTGTATCCCATGCGCATACTGAAGGCCCATGACGCGCCTTTCAGGTTACCACCCGCCTAACAAGTGCAGTGAACGCTGGTGGGGCGGGATCCAAGCGTGCAGCGTGCGCAGAGCCCTAGCCGGCCCTACCATTGCCTGGCCCGCCTGCCCGCCTGGCCCCCCTGCCATCGTCGACCGTCCTCATAGGCCTCGGAGCTGTACCTGGACCGGTCACTCCCCCCACCCCGCCAGCGCTCCTCCTGGTAGACAGCGGCGGAGTACCGGCTGAAGCCTGGGTACTGCGCTGGATCCTGGCGATGGTACTGCGGGGCAGGCGCCCCGCGCCGTATCCGCTCGTTCCGCACCGCCCCCGGGACGTCTTGCCGGCACTCTGCGGCGCAGTGGCCGCCTGCATGGGGCGCATGGGCGGCACCTTGAGCGCTGGAGCGGCTGGGCAGTCCACCACGCTGATCATACATGCCAGCAAGCCGGCTGGGAGCTGGCATTCACAAGACCATAGCACGGCTTGCGGGAAACATGACGAAATGCTTTGCCGCACCAAGCCGCCGCCCCTCAGATATCAGAAGCCCGCGTGCGCATGGCCAGTAGATTTGAATGCAGGGTCCCCCACCTGCACCACAGTTGTAGCAGGACGGCAGGACCCGAGTGTCGGGGGCCGGGGCGCAGGACAGGTGGCCCCTGAGGCCGCAGGTCGAGCACCGCACTTGTGCCAGGTCCTCCTCCATGTACTCACAGGTGCACCCTCCCTCAGCTCTGTATGTGTGTATGGGCGAAGGGGGAGGGGGGGGAAGGCTGGGCTGGGTCCCTCCAGCAGGCACCGAGCGATAGAAATCATCAACACAAAGTCAGCCCTGCTGCTGGAGGGTCACCCAGCATCAGGCCACCCCACATCCAGGCCAAGCCTGGGCGCGCACAGGATTGAGCTCCACCCCGGCGCTGGAACAGCTCGGCACTTGGCATGCTGCCCCTGCACCCCACGCGTCTCGCGCTGTCCCTGGTCCTTTCACGGCAGACCGCCTGCCGCCTGGAGCCTCACCTGATGTAGTCCGGCTCCCCGGCCGCTGGGCAGGTGGTGTGCCCGCAACGCAGGCAGGCAGGGGCGGGGCCCCCGCCCGCCGCGCCCTCCTTGCAGTCCCTGGCCTGGTGTCCCGGGCGCTGGCACTTGAAGCAGAGGGTGTTGGGGCACTCCCGGGCATCGTGCCCCAGGGAGGCGCAGTGGTAGCAGGGGCGGGGGCGAGCGGGGTTGGGGCAGTCGCGGGCCATGTGCCCTGCCTGCCCGCACTTGAAGCATCGGCGGCCTGCGTCGTCAAACTCGGGGTCAAAGTAGCTGCGCCAGAGGAGGGGGGAGAGGGGTGAGTGGCCTGTGACAGCAGGGGGACCGGGGCCAGCAAGGAGCGCAGTCCCGCTCAGCAGTGTGAAGGGGCATCTGGATCGTGCAATCCAGTAGAGCAGTGGGAAGCCTGCAGTGCAGGGCCCCACCCACAGAGCAACAGCAGGCAAGGGAGACTCACCGGGGCATTCGGAGGAGGCGCTTGACCTCGGCATTGCCCCCGTCGTCTTCCTCATCCGACACCACCATGACCCCGCGCGGAAGGACAAGGCTCTTGGACGTGGAAGTCGGCAAGACCGTTTCCGGGCTGGCGGGGACCAGACCTGGCTCCACATCCTCAGGATTCTGCTGTGCTGGCAGGGATGCAGAACGAGAACCCCTGACTGTGGTCACGCTCCTGTCGCGCGCAGAATCGTGGCCGCTGTCATCACTGCCGCTGCCGTTGCTGCTGCTGCTGCTGCTGCTGCTGCTGTCCTCACCACCAGTTGCCAAGGCCCTTGCCCCCGGCCGAGGGCGGGGCATGGAAACTATGGGAAGGCAGCCGGTGTAAGTTTGCTTCAAAAAGCACCAGTGCTTAATCTGAGCTGGTCCTTCGAATGTCAGGGACGCTGCTGACAATGAGGGTGGCCAAAGGGATTCACCACACAGGCGCGCTAGAAGAAGCCCGCCTCGAGCAGACTCGCACTGCCCATGGACTCATATTCCGGACCTCCAACTCTGATGGATTGCTTGTCACTGGCGTACACTAGCTGTCTGCTCATATGCTTTGCTTGGGGGAATCGCGACGTCGAGCAGCGCGCGCGCGCCCCCACTTTGCAAACATGATCCGTCTGTGACCAAAATACAAGGGTATGGTCCAAAGCTGCACTGGTTGGTGATCCTGAGGCTTTGCATATTTGAAATCCGGGAATTTACTGAGAATGGCGTGAGAGAGAGTCTGACATGGCGAGCTCCCGAGCACTGTCTCTGTCTGGCGGTGTGCGTGTCGCCCGGCTGGTTCACCCCGCGACACATCCCGTGCTGCTCCCTGCCCGGACCACATGGCCTCCTGCATTCGGCAGGCGGTCATGCATGCGAAGCATGGCCACCGCGACTCCCACCTTGGAGAGCGAGCAGCGGGATGTGGCCTCCCATGCCGGGGATGCTCCAGCCGTGCACCGGCCGACCATGGAGCCGGGGGCCTTCCAGCGCCTCCCAATCGTTGCCTCCGCCAAGGAGCTGGTCAGGACCTCTGTCAGGCGTGCTTCACGGGTTGGCAACAATAACAAGCTCAAGAACGAGGCTGCCAAGGCCCGAAACAGGTGCGCTGCTGGCAGGGCGTAGCGCACCGAGCTCAGAAGGGGAATCTCGACGACATGGAAATGTCTTCACCGCATTCTACGTGCCCTGCTGGACTCCCCATCCCGCCTGCTGCTGCAATGCAGGGCCTCACGTGCCATGGACACACTGATGAAGGAGATGTGTGGGCCACTGGGCCAGTACAGGAGCGGCTTCCCCTCCAGGGAGCGTCTGCATCCCTTTGATGCTGCGCTGCTTGACCTGACGGTGGGTGGGAGGTTCCATGGAGATCCTGAGAACCTGTCTTGCTTCGAATTCCGCATGCACGCGTGCAAGTAAGCCCTGGCTGACCTTTTGCCACCCCGCTGTCACTGTCTGCAGGTGGGGGCCGAGCGGTATCGCAGGACGCTCGCTCAGCTGGAAGCCTTCAAGAAGACAGCTGTGCAGGTGAGTGTGTGGCCAGGGCGGGTGACAGGGCTGAAGGTGGTAAGGTGTGGAGCCAGGTGTGAGCCTGGGGGCACAGAATTGTCCCCCACCCAAGTAGATCGTCCTCTTGGAACCCTGCCTCACCCGCCCTGGTGATACGCGGCCCTACAGGTGACCAAGATGTACGCCAACCGGGCGGTGAAAGCCTCCAACATGCGCGAGGCGATCGAGATCCGCGAAGAAGCCCTTGCACAAGTGGAGCTGGCCCTCACGACAGGCGAGGAAGTGGAGCTGGCATGGGTGTTTAGGGTGACCTGAGTTTTTGCCGAGGCACGAGTCCTCCCGGATGACCCATGCGGTTCCTCGGTGCTGAGAAGTGCGCGGCAAGGGTGCATTGAATTCCTGCCAACCCCAAGCTTGCTCCATCGTGTGTGTGCACTCCCCCTGTCCAACTCCATCACACCTTTCACACCTCGCTGGTAGGGGCTGCGGTGGTGGACGAGCTCAAGGACATCGCGCGGAACCTGCGCCGCCTGCCCGTAGTCGACCTCTCGGGGGCCACGGTGCGTGCCAGGGGCTGTTGAGGGAGTGCAGGTGGCCGTCTCGAAACCCTGCGTGACACGGGCCCTCCTCAATAGCATCCTCCCTCCCCATTCCTACCCTTTCGCCAGGTCGCGCTGGTGGGCGCGCCCAACGTGGGCAAGTCATCCCTCGTCCAGCTGCTTTCCAGCGGGCTGCCGGAGGTGTGTGACTACCCCTTCACCACGCGCAGCATCAAGGTCGGCCACTTCTTCGTCGACGGCATGCGGCACCAGGTGGGGCACCGACGCCCCGCGCGTGCTGGGCGCCGGCAGGTGGCAGCTCGGCGCATTTGCGGGTGGAAGTGGGGCCGACCGACGCCGTCTGACCAGGGCCTGCTCTGGAGAGGGGCTGCAACCTGTTTGTTGGCCTCAGGCAGCCCCGCCGCCACTCTCACACCCTACACCGTCGACCCTCGGGCAAGGGCCTTGTAACTTCCGCACACCAACCCAATCACCGCCCCCTAACCCATCAAGCACCAAACCCTCGTGCAGGTGACAGACACCCCCGGCCTGCTGGCCCGCCCCGACCCGGAGCGGAATGCCATGGAGCGGCTGACCCTGGCCACCCTCCTGCACCTGCCCACCTCTGTGGTGTTCGTGGCCGACCTGACGGGGCAGTGCGGGACCAGCGTGGGCAAGCAGTGGGCCATCAGGTGGGGCTGACGGCCAGCGCAGCGGGGTTGGAGGGGAGGGGGAGGGGGTTGAGCATGGCATAGGGGGGGTCGTGATGGCCATCCTCGCTGCATGAGTCCTCTTCCAGACCCATCTGCACTGACTCTCGGGCCCCGAATCGCCACAGGCAAGAGCTGAAGGCGCGATTTCCCAACAAGCCCTGGCTGGATGTGTGCTCAAAGGCCGACCTTTTGGAGGCCGAGTTCCGGGTGGCCGATGCCCATCGGGCCGGGCAGGGCACCACCCAGCCTCCTGAGGCGCTGACCACGGCGGTAGAGTGGGCGGTGCACGTGCCAGAGGCGCTGCGCGTCTCTGCCACCACAGAGCAGGGACTGGACGGCCTGAAGGTTAGCCTGAGTGACACGGTGCGGGCGGCGCTGGAGAGTCTGGACGCCTGGGTGGATGCCGAGGAGGCCTGAGCTATGCCATGACATATGGACAGGTCTTGGTGTCCTGGACTTGACCCAGGAATGTGTAGTCCTCGTTGCCACAGATGGCATGGGCTGTTGCCGAGGCTCAGAGCACAACCAGGGCTAGGCAGTGGGCGTTCAGGTGGTTTCTTTGTCAGCAGGCGGGCTATGAAAGGGGTCGCAGGGGGTGTGCTTGGTGTCTCGTGTACATGGAGGCTTTCCACCTCCTCAAATCTGGGTCCTTGTATCTGATGGGAGAGCCCTGTGCACACGCAGAGATCGAGGGTTTGGGTTCCCTCGTGTGTCAATGAACCAAGGCTTGCAACCTCACAGGGCTTGTGGCTGGGCATCAAGGATCCATCGTTGCCTCACCATGATCAGACTCCTGGTGACTTCGTCCTCGGCAAGGTCCAGGTACAGGCGCAGCATGGCGATGCGTAGACCAGTTGAGATGCCTGCGTATGTCGATGAAAGGGCTTGTCCTGGCACCATCTGCTGACAAGGGGGGGGTTCTGATTGCAGCCCCATTGGTACACCACCTCCCTGCATTGCCACCCCCCGATCTGCCACTATGCAAACCCAGCTGGAAATCGCGCCCGGCGTACCCATTGCTGCTCCCGCAACCCGGTACGCTCCTCGCAGTTTCTCATCTGCACCCTCAGCTAGGACCCTGCGCGAGGGTCGCGTTCTTCTCCGCAGCCGGTGCAGCGAGGCACATGCTTGTCGTTTGGCCCCTTTCATGGACTGAGGAACCTCGCGCTGTATCGCCGCGCTGACACCAGCACCAATACCGACGGAGGCACCGGCAAGCATGTAGAGCTTCCGGAGCAACTGGTGCGCAGTGGTGACCTCCCGACGGCAGCCGTCAGCAGGAGGTGCAGCCGGCATCAGATCACAAGCAAGCTATTATGAAGCTGTGATATCCCTGTCAAGTCCCCAGTGCGGCGCTGTTGAAGTGATTGTATGCCACAATGAGGGTTCAAGACCCGCGACCATCACGCACTCATTTCAAATCATGGGCAGTGATGTGAGAGGCAGAAGTCGCGCAAGGCGTCTGCCGATGGTGTTCAAGTTTGTACTGTCAAGCTCTCAGATTATCGACAAGGTTCTTCAGGGTGCCTTGGGTGCCTTGCAGAGCAATCCGGGGGGTAAAACCACGTGGGTTGCCCCGCCCCGCAATTCCAAATCACCACCTTGACGCAGATGTCAACAGTGATCAGCTGACCCGCAGCATGATAACTCCGACTGAACGAGTTTGAAATAGCTGATCTTGAAGGAACACTCGTCACCCTGGCCATGCGAGTGCTGACCATTTCGTAGATACTCTTCCGCAGCGCCAAGCCAACCCGGAAGTGGACGATCTCGGTAGCAGCACATGGACACCGCGAGATCCGTGCCGGAGCTCATTCGGGGCCTCAAGTCCCCCCCCCTCCCCCGGCGCTCCTTTCAGGGACCGCGAATGCTGCACCGACTCTCCGGCAGCAGCACGTCCGGTCTCGCCCCAGCCCAGACCAGGCCGCCCCCGGCCCCGACACCAGACAGCTCAGCAAAGGCAGTCCCAAGCCCTGCTCCTCAAGGCAGCCCCTCCAAGCTACTGAGCTCCCTGCCCAGCTCAAGCAAGGCCCCTTCCCAGGATGCTGCAGTGAGAGCCTCACCGGCACAGCCGCCCTGCGGAGAATTCAGCACACCCCCGGAGCGCAAACCAGCCCCTGGGCCATCGAAGAAAATGTCGGCTTCCTCCAAGAAACGCCCAGGCGCAGCCGCCCCACGGCGTCCTGCAGCGTCCAACCGGCGACGACGGTGTGCTGACATCCTGGGCCGCCGGGTCAACATCCCTACCACTGTGTTCGGGTAGGCGGCAGTGGGACGAGGGGCAGACTCTCTCAGAGAGGATCGAACGCGCCTCGGCAGATATGGAACAGAGCCTTTCACCGCACCACCCTACAGCTGGGAGGTTATGCCCTTGGTTATTTACAGGAGACAGGCTGGTCACGCATTTGGATAGCAATCCTAGAGATATTTTCCCGCCCCCATGCACCACAGGGTGAAACTCAGAGAGATAAAGTACTACACCGGCAGGGTGGTGTCTCTTGATGCCAGGAGGCGCGACAGCGTCGTCGTCCACTTCCCAAACGAGGACCCGCCCAAGTATTGGTTCCCTGAAGCGGCTGTGCGGGAGTGGCTGAGGCTGTACGGACCCAAACCTCCTGAACCCAGAAAGAAGCAGCAGAGTGAGCGATGCAAACATGGCTCTTGCCCTGCAGTCTGCTTTTGAAATGAGGGCGAGGTTGCGAGGAGCAAGCCATGGCTTGGGCCTGGATGTCAGGATGTGAAACTCTCTCTCCATCAGCTACCAACATTCCCTTTGCCCTCACACCGATGCTTAGAGGAGCAGGTGGAGACTATTATTTACTCGCCGGGCAGGGAGGCAGCAGACGTGTTGACCACCTTATCACAGCGAACAGGACCGCCAGCTGCCAATCCGGCTCAGTAGCTTGTTGTGACCGTGACCCCTCATGGAGCGCCCCAGTTTGCGCCGCTGATTGAATAGAGAAGGTCCTCTGAAATTGCCTTTGCAGCATCTTACATCACGATGGGGTTGCGCGCCAGAGATGCGAGACTCAGAATTCCTACCCCGATGAGCAGTGGGCCTGCAAAATTTGGAGCCGACTCAGCCTCTCGGGAGATGTTTCGGCAGAGCGATCTCCTGATCGCTACAAGCCGTCGCATTTGCAGGTACGACATACCCACTCACCTCCTCTTTTCGGATCTTCCCAGACCAATATTACCAGAATCTGTATACATAGGTGTCGAAGAGAGGAGGGTAGGGCGATCGGCTGTTAGGAGCCCTCCTGAAGTCCTCGTGTCACGGCACCCTGTGCACATGCGACCCACGACACCAGGAGCTGCTGATCCTGATGGTGCAAGCAAGTGAACCCCTCAACGAAATCAAAATATTCGGCGGGGCCATCTCCGTGCCTCTGCCGTCTCGGCTCCAGGATGTCTCGGACTTCAGGCCAGTCCCCGACCACCAGGAGGTGAGGGCTGTGGTGGGTGGCCTGGACGGCCTCATCGACTCGATTCCTCTTGGCGAGATGCACAGACCCCAACCCCACACGCCACCCGCCGAGCAGATATTCACCGATGCGGCGCGGGACCAGAGCCTGATCGTGGAGGTCGTGGTGAGGGCATCAGGTTCAGGGATGGTGGGCGTGCATCAGGCGGGTCATCACAGCCCACCAACCGCCCATGCACATTGCCCCGCCCAGGAGTTCCAAGACCAACCAGACGAGGACGCCGCTGGCTTTTTTTTCAAGGACCTGGCAGATGTGGGGCAGGCGGTCTCCTCCCGGCTGGACAGCGTCCAGGGTCTGGGCAGCAGGGATGTGCCGCACCTTCCCCCCAGCCTCTACGTGTCCTTGGCTGCAGGCCAGCACACCGTGGCAAAGTCAGGCGCGGCATCCGAAGCGCTTGCGATACAGGTGCGTGCTGCTTGGACCGTGGTGTGGTGATGACAAGGTTGGCAATGCTCCTTGGAGTAGGCAATTCCCCTTTCGCTCAGCAGTAACTTGAACAGGCCGTCAGGAGTGCGTTTGGGATCCCCCTGGGGGCACTCTTGCAAGGGTTGTCTGGCATTTCTGTCCACCATTCTGCTCTCGTGATCTCATTCTACAATCTCGTGCCTCCCAGGTGCTCCTGGCCGACATCAGGATCCCGGCGCATGGGAGCGACTTGCTCATCTCCCTGCACACACGCAGCAGCAGCCTCGGTGCCCAGGAGTCTGAGACAGAGGCTCCGCTGCAGGGTCCTGAACTCTTCAAAAGCATCCTGAAAGGACTGAAGATCCTGGACTGGGGTCTGTTTGGACAGTGATTGGGAGCAGCGGCGACTGCGCTGCATGTAAAGTAAAACGCCTGGGCAGAGCCAGTTTGATACCCACCTGGCAATATAAAGAGCATAGAGAAGGCATCGCTCTGGGTGTTCCAGGTTCTTGGAATGTATGCAATAGGATCGGCGCATGAGAGAGAAAAGCTGCTGGTTGGTGTACCCTGTGCATATCCTCACCCACTCGAAAAGGTGCTGCTGGATACACTGTGAAGTGAAACACTCAACTTCCCGAGACTCCTCGAAACTGTCGAGCGTGCACAAGAAATAATCAATGAAACCAGCAGGCCCGGCAATAAGCATGATGATGGTGAGCTTGCGGCCATGACACCTGGCTGTGATGCGCCATCATCCTGCCACACCTCCCACCTGGCGTCATCCAACCGTCGAGATTGACGAAATGGCATCTCGATATCTGGCCAGGGGTCATGTGGTTGTGTCGCCAAGGTGCCGCTCTCAGGTCCACCTTGTCTGTGAGTGGCTCGCTCATCTTTGGTCAACCACACCCTGATTGGCGTTGATCACACGATTAGAAAGGATGGCCGAAGGTATGTGCACAGCCGTAGATGTTGTGGGGGCTTGGCTAGACCCCACAACGTGAACCGCTGCATATGTTTTAAAGTAGGAATGTTACGGAACAACACCCCCAATACGGTGAGGGGCTTGGGCTTCTTGCACTGTGCCAAGCGGCGTAGACACGATGCAGGGCACAGGTGGTGGGGAAGACTCCGGAGAGGGTGCCCCCACAACACATGGCAGTTGAGTTAGAGGGTGTGCCCGTCAGCAGCCGAGCAGACGCCGCGGCACTGCCTGGCATCTGGGATGCCATCAGGTGGAAGGATGCTGAGGCCATGAGCGCACAGCCCAATCAAAGCTCGTCGCTTGCCGATACTGCAGCTCACGCGTCGCAGACACTGATGATCGGAATGGTCCACAGGCCCAGCTCCAGTCCAGTCGCAAGCCAGGCTTCCGCTGGGTCCACTGGGTGCAAGGCCAGCCAAAGCAATAGCGGCACCGATGCAACTCGCAGGTATGCCCAGGCAACAGTGGCTCGTCCATTGCAGCCACTAGCAATCAGGCTTGCTGTAGGCTGGACCACACAGCCAGGGGCGTTACGTGGTCGCATGAGCACACCAGGAGGCAACAACACCTCTGAGGGACTGTATGATGTAGGGAGTGTGAGGGTCTCTGCAATGGCATGACGCGCAGCATGGATTGCATCCCCAACTCAGATATGAAGCCATGCAGCACTGATTCAACGCCATCACACTATTTCCACCACGACGGCATCACTACGACCTGCACACCTGGGATGCTTCTCCAAGGATGATGGCAGCGGTGGCACAGTAGCACTCATTGGGCAATCCCAGGGAGTCCAGGTAAAGGCACCGTCAGGGCATAGGCATTGCTGCACCATGCGTCCCGCTGCAGAGTCCGCCATGCGCGGTGATCACACGGCGCAAGCGGGCATGTTGTGCGCGACTGCAGCATCCCTCAGGGCAATAAGCGTCGCCACCAGCTGCTCAAATCCTCCCGCTGGTCGGTGTCAGGTGCTCCAGCACCTGCTCAGAGGCAGTGGGCTCACATCACCCTCCGGCAGCAAGCGGGATGCTCAATGCGGCCCGTGCACAGAGCATGTACAAGCATGGTGAAGCGAGGTGAGCTTATGATAGGAGCAGTCACGATCCTGCCAGCGCAGGAACGCGGGTTGCCCACACAAAGGGATAGGCATGCCTTCGACCATTTGCCAAACCGGACTCGACACCCTACACAGATAGAGTACTATGATAAGGCAGAAACCAAAAATGATAATGGCTTCTTGACCCTGATTGGATGCTGGGTCCCATCGACGATCAAGCAGCCATCCTGGGCGGTGCCCGGACGTCGGCGCGCCCTGACTCAGATCGATCTCGACTGCGAGCTAGACATCGAGCCCAGGAAGCGATTCGTTCCATACTCGGTCATGCGATGTTAAATCACGGTGGATACCATCAACGTATCAGTGCGTGATTCACTCCGAAGGCCGTCGCATTGTGTCTCACAGGGTGCCGATCTCAGACCCCAGCCAGTAAGTGGATCACTCTTCCCTGGTCATCCATCCCTGATCGTCAACAATTCGCCACTGAATTCACCTTGCTCAAGTATACGCACTGTCGACGAGGAGGAGGGATCGATGGCGTCGTGCCTGATGCATTGTATCGGTGGGCTGCTCTCTCATCTCACAGCTGAGGGCACCATGCGCACTGGGCGAGATCTTAATCCGCTACCTCCCACACGGTAGCAGGCTTCTTGTATAGATTCGCTGATGGACAGTCAATCGTCCATATCCTTCATTCCTGGTTGCCACCACAGTTGGCAATGTGGACATCAAGCACTCACTGCACACCTCCTGTTGTGGGGGCACCCTCTCCGGAGCCTTCCACCCTTTCCACCTGCATCCATGCCCTGCGACGCGGCTACGACGCCTGGCACAGTGCTTGAAACCCTAGCCCCTAACCGTATCCGTGATCTTGTCTGTAACATTGCTACTTCAGGATATATAGCACTCCACGCTGTGGGTCTAGCCCGCCCCCACAACATCCACCCACCCCACCCACCACCCGCCCCTCCCACCCACCCCCTTCCTTGAAGTGTGACAGTGACGGCCTCAGTTCCGACTGTCTGTAGGACGCATTGCACATTGATGGCACAAGGCCATCGAACCATCATGAGGCTGGGAGGAAGGGGCACACCTGATCGCTTACACACCCGCTTCTGCCGCGAGCTCGTTG